GGGTGCGTTGCCAAAGGGCAGCGGCCATTATTGTTTTGAGAGGTCTGTTATCAAGAAATAATGACCTGTAGAACGTTTTGAAATTACATTCAAATCAATGAAGCGTTCTCCTGCTGCTGTGAGGAGCCGTGTAATTATGTATATTAGAAAATCCAAATATGAAACCAATAAGAGAAATGTTATTATGTCAATGGCAATGTCAAATTCAGCTTCACAGGCACAAAAAGAAAACAGCATAAAACGGTAAAATTCAATGGGTGATAGAAGCTAAGGCTCACAAATGTGTCTTTTGACTAGATTTAGGTGTCCTTACATTATTCTTGAATGTTTCGTGTTTTGTCCGGAGGTGTTTGATGTTATGATATATAAGTGCTAAGTGCAATACCTAACCAAATCCAATCTCAATCTTAACTCAACACACTAGTCCAGGCATGTCCAAATTCAGTCTTTGAGATCATAAACACAAGTTCACTGTGTCATCCATCCAACTTCAACTCAGCCAATATAGACATGCCGTAACTCATTCTCAAGCCCAGTACGTCTGGAATTCAGTTGTTATGAGACTTGTGAGATGGTGACACGGTAAACATTTGTCAATCAGCCAACTTCAGCTTAGTTATAGATCATTTTCAAACTCTGAACAGCCCGATGCCAGTCAAGACAGTTTTTCAGTCTGTGATGTCGGCCCCTGGACTGGTCTGGTGAACTAAAGTGGCCCTCTTACTAAAATGCTTGGACACCCCTGCAATAGTCCAATAAAACCCATCGATTTGTGCGTATGTGTTTGTGTGGGTGAAAGATCAGTCGTTCCTTGTTATGAAGCACTTTGAGGTCTGTGAAAAGGTAAAAGTATCTATTTATAAATATATGTATGTGACCAATTTACCGCCTTAACCGCACTCCCCTCATGTAAACTGTCCTGCTTTCTGCTGTCAATGTTTCCGATGCTGGGGGTAATGTAATCACAAGGGCCAAAAGTAAAATATGGCCAAAATTATGCAAAATGTATCTTCATTTGAGCAATTCTGACTGACTTAAACCAAGATGGGACGAAGCTACATTTTTCCTGTTTTGAAAATAAGCAATAGTTTTTTTAATTGGATTAAATGGCCTTGTCCCATTGGAAAATCTTGGGTTTATATGGTCAGAATTTGCTCGAATTAAGATAAAAACCACTAAATTCAAGCAATTATTACCTCACATTTGATCATGTTTTGTTGTAGATTTATGACGTTTTCAGTTATGCTCAAAAATGGGACAAAAGTAATGATTACATTTTGGAGTTCACGGTCTGGGTCCAAGTTTTTACTTTTTTTAAGCAATGGAACTGGCTTTTTTGTGTGCATTTCTCTAAGTTGATGAGAGCCCATTTGTGCACTGTTGTGTATTAAAGCTGGGGTACCTAAATTTCAAACCACAAAAAATGTAACTATTTAGTGACTCCCAGGGCTCTTTCTTACAAATCTATAGAATGTTTTCCCAAATGTAGCAGCAAGTCGTGGTCAGATCGGTTCACAATATGTTTACATTTACTTTATCGGTGATTATTACATAAACAGCTGGAAACCAATACACACTAAGAAAAAAATGGCTGCTTTACGGTAATGAGTTATCAAAAGTAATGGAAGTGTCTTGCCCATGGACACATCAGCACAATGCGATTACTATTGAGCCAATTCCCAGATGCAAATATTGGACGATAGATGAATTGTTCCCAGTGACCGGACTAGTCATTGACAGAGACAGAAGGTCATTCTAAGGCCGGATACACCCCCCCCCCCCCCCCCCTTTCCCTCCCTCCCTGAGAACAGCCTGAGCGCGGCAGATAACCGTCCGCATGGCATCCACACAGGACCAATAGCCGTGATTCATCGGAAGCCATTTGGTACCTGAACGCCTATGAAATTGTAATGAACTTGATTATGCTTTTAATGAAGTGTGCGCCACTTCTTCAGAAATGATTATAGCCGTGCTCCGTCTCGAGGCTCCGGGCTGGGAACGGGAGGAAGGGGGAGGCACGGGGGAGGCACGGGGGAGGAGGGAGGGAAGGGAGAGAGAAAGAGAGAGAAAGAGAGAGAGAGAGAGAGAGGGGAGGGCAATGACAAATAACCAGGATGTAATGTACAGACTCGCAGAGGAGAGGGGCCGGACCGAGAGGCGGAAGATGGAATATGTGGGATTGTAATGACAGCTTCAATAAGTTTCTGCGGTGACAATGATGACGGAATATGGTTTTACTGGATTATAATCAGATTACTGCTGTTCAAATACTCATTTTTTTTTACATTGTGTAGTTCTCATACTACTTTAAATCCATAACCTGTATATAAATAGACAATGCTGACCCGCTAGCGCATTGAAGCCCAATGTAAGCCTTAATAATTGCATGGATGATGTGGTTCTGCTGCTAGACACCTTAATTTCTTCTATGGGGATCATTTATCAATCTATCTATCAATCATTAGGGAAGTGTTCATATCTGGTCAGACCTCTGAAGCTGTGCAGAGCAGGGCCTGGTTAGTGCTGTGATGGGAGACTTCTGGGAACACCAACTGCTACAGTGGGGCGGCTTCAGATGTAAAGTGCAAAACTTCACCTACGCCTACGCCTAGAATGGTTGGTGTTGGTCGAAGGGGCAGATGGCACATACTGGTTGCCTCACTTCTGTTAGTGTACCCCAGGGCAGTTGTGGCTACAGTAGTAGTTTATTACCACTGTGTATGGGGTGAATGAATAATGACATGAGAAGTGCCTTTGAGTGTCCAAAAAAAAAAAAAAAAAAAAGCTCTATTGAAAACCATCCATCCATCCTCTTCCCCTTTCTTCATTTCTGGGTTGGGGGGTGGCAGGTCAGAGCTGCACCCGATTTATATATAAAACCCATGCATTATCATTTTTATTAATAGATCGAAATCTTGCAAAATGCTATTTCTAACTCCTATTAATGTATTTGTTAAGGCAGTCTTACAGCAGAAACACGATTCAAACTCATTTACCGACAATTGATCTGATCTCAGTACACGACAAAAGCGTTAAATCCTGTCTTTTTTGTTGAGCTGTAGACACAATGTTGCTAAATTCACACAAAAACTCATGTTGCATATTGTGTGTCCTTAAATTCACTGATCTTCGCAGAGAGAATGTTCAGTCCCAGGACAGGGTTAGTCCCAGGCCACGTGGATCACACAAATCCAGAGGGACCCAGTGCTTTGGGCCTGTTCCCCCAAAGACTCATGTTCTCTGCAACACATCAACACAATCTGCTCTGCTGTGGCAACAACAACATGTGCTAATACAAGTTTATCTGTATAGCACCATTCATAGATACATACATACAGAACACAAAAACATGCAGAGAAGGATATGATCTTCTCTTCACCACGCAAACATAGACATTTCATTTGAGAAATTGACAAAATATGAAATACTTTACTGAAGGGGCAGAGCTACATGTTTGAGTTGTGCATGGATGGGTCTAAAACCATCTCCAGGTTGGCTGTTGATAAAGGAACAAAGGATATAATCTCAAACAAGTAGATTTTCCACAATGATTACTCTGCTAATGGTCGTAAATTAATCTATATGTAGTTTATTTTTGTCAGCATTTTGTTGAATTGACCTTATCGTTACCATAGCAACGCAATGTTAACTTGCAGCAGATAGCATTTGGGAGCTTTTCAACAAAGTGTCTTGCTGTATTTTCTGTACATGTATTCATCAGTTGTACTTAAAGTAGTACTAGAATTTAATATGCTGCTATCCAGAATATATAACTAGAATATGTGTTTATAATATTTCGGGTGTTCATTTTGACATGTTCAGATGAATTATGTTAAAAAAACTGCTTTGAAGTGGCACCTTTTCACTTCCGCATAGAAACGCTAGGGGGAGCCAAAATGGCGGCGATGACGTAGGAGAAGGACCTCTCACAGCAGCAGCAGCAGTCTTAGCTGGAAACTGTAGGAGGTTTCACTGTCATCTGAACAAGGTATAAACATATTTTCATCCGTTTTGTACATAATAGTGTGCAACTCTTTTAACCTTTTAGCCTTATTTGTGAGATTCAAGCTAATTAGTGTTGGGCAAGTTAGCTAACTCTACTTGATATCATAAAACATGCTAACAAGGCTAATATTCGTTTTTACATTATGCCAGTCTCACTTTGGTTTCCTTAGATTTATTTACCACAATGTACATTGTAATATCCATAAATGCTAACACCTATTAACGGTTTAATTAGCATTTTTATCAATGATTGCATCACATGTAGTTTATGTTTTCAACTTCTGCAGCTTTTTGTTCATAAAAGTAAAATGTATTTAATTCAAGTTATTTTGATTAGCATTTATGGATATTACAATGTACATTGTGAGATACCCTTCTCCTACGTCATCGCCGCCATTTTGGCTCCCCCTAGCGTTTGTAAAAAGGTCCGACTTCAACGCTGTTTTTTTAACATAATTCATCTGAACATGTCAAAATGAACACCCGAAATATTATAAACACATATTGTAGTTATATATTCTGGATAGCAGCATATTAAATTCTAGTGCTACTTTAATAAAAGTGAGTAAAGGTAATAAAAACGTAAACATATTTTAGGTTATATCTCAGAATTCCATTGATTTGAAAGGGAGCAGTCAGAATGACGGCTCTGGGAGTCCTTGTGTTAACAGTATCTTTAGTGAACCACGTTTGCAGTATAATATCCCATCGTCAAAAACTGGATGAAAAACTGGAACTAAAGCCGCAGCACTGAAGCAGGATGAGTGTACAGTAAATCAGGACATTGGTGAAACAACGCTTCCTTCAGGATTAATAAGGCGTCTGATTGGCTGCGGAGGAGGAAGTGCCAGAGATAAGCCCAGTTTTATTATCATTACGACTTGGACTGTGGCGGTTTTGCATTCAGACGGTGGAGCCTCATTTTTCAAAGCCGGAGAGTGCGAGAGGCAGCTAGTTACGACCTGGTCCAGCCTGTGTCCGCCTGCGGGTTATGGATGAACCACATTCTCCTGTTCTGTTATGACCCGCAGCAGAACGCCACATACAGGTCATACATGTGCTCTGTGTTTGTGTAAAGAGGCCCGGTGCGATGGACTGCATTTCCACCTGTTCATAAGTCATTAAGTCATTTTAAGTGGGAAAATCTCAATCTCTATTTCATTTTCTGCTGTTTGTGACGTGTTTTGAGCTTCACAGCAGGAAGGTTCTGGGTTCAATTCCACCTCCAGATTACTGTATGATTACTTATTAACAGTATTACAGTGGTCCCTTGCTGTTTAAGCTGATTCTCTTAAAATTATCTTCTTTAAAATTATCACATGGACAAAATGTTTCTTCATACATTTCTTCATAAATTTGAACATTATCATAAGAACAAACTTGGCCCCACATGAAATGCATGCATGTGAAAACAAATGATCGAACCAAACTGATTTGAGAGCAAAGAACTTAGATGATAGTTTCATTTATAGTGATTTGAAAGTTCATCATCCATTTTCTCCCACTTCATCTGTTGCTGGATCACAGGGGCAGCAGTCTAAGCAGAGGTGCCCAGACTTCCATATCCACACACACTTCCTCCTGCTCATCCGGGGTGACCCAAGGCATTCCCAGGCCAGAGAGAGACATGGTCCCTCCAGCGCGCCCTGGATCTTCCCCGGAGTCAAGAAAAGACTGAAATATTGCCTATTCACATCTTGTTATTTAAACTTTAACATAACAAACAATACAACCGTTTTCCTCATGCCTCTCCCAACTCATTTCAGGTGCTTAAAAACAAGTTAAAAACATTAAAAAGCAAACAATGTGTTCCATGTTTTTCCAAAGTAAATAAAGTGAGTCTGCGTGGCGGCGTCCTGGCGGATATCAGAAGCGCCGCTTTGTGGATGCGGGTCACGGGCGTCACCTCTGAAGACGAGAGGCGGACCGGGCTAATACCTCCAGCACTGTCATTGTCACAGAGGGGTGTTACCACGGCGACCTTTGATGGCTTCTTCCTCCGCCAGCGAAAACAGGAAGTGTGCGGCGTGCATACAGATGACTGCGAAATCTGAGCTCCATGTTGGCATTTCATAAACATCTAGACACAAATAGAAATAATAATGATGACAATAATAATAATAATAATCTGTATTTGCTCTGCACAGTCGGCATAAAGCAATAAAAAAACGTTATAATGGTAAAAGCTATACAAGTTATATAAAGAAATAGAGTTGAATAATGCCGACAGACAGCAAGAAAGTCAAAACAAAGAGAATGTGGAAAAGTAAAATATATGACAGCGTTTGCAAGGCCATTTGATAAAAGTTCAAAGAAGTGATTTAAAAGAGATTGATTTCACTAAAACAACTCCGTAAACCTTTAACTTCTCGCTCAGATACTTCAGAAAGTGTATGTTCTGAAAATTTTCACTGAATTATATTTACACATGCAATATGGGTTTTAGTCAAAGATGAATGGAATACCACTATTTTCCACTCTGAGGAAACTCGCGGTGAAGAAAAACTGTAATAACATGTTTAAAGGTATATACAATTATAGTTCCTCAAAGATCCTGGCTAAATCTGTAAAAGAATTCATCACAAATGCACAAATCAAAAGTGCATGTTTCAAAATGCACAGTCTATATCTACTGTATATCGGCAACAGTGGTCCTCTCTGTGTTACTGTCTGTCTGAAGAAGCCAAAACAAATACATTCAAAAATTGTCCCCCATCCTCTCTTGTTCTCCCTGCTGATCCCCCTCTCTCTCTCTCTTCTCTCTCTCTCTCTCTCTCCCATCTCTCTCTCTTCGGCTGTCCCTCTCTCTCTGTCCCTCTTCTTTTCTATCTTGGTTCTCTCCTCCCTCCCCCCTCTTCTTTCCTTAGGGGTAAATCTCCCTCTTTTCCCCTACCTTTTTGACTCCATCTCACTGGTTTCTATCTCCTTCCTCTCTCTCTCCCCCTTCCTTAGCACTCTCTCTCTCTATTCTCTCTCTTTCCCCTGTGTCCTCTCCCCCTTCTCTCTCCTCCCCCCGTCCCCCCCCTCACCAACCGCCCCTCTCTCAAAGTCCCTTCTCTTATCTCGAATACTGGTTCTCTGTCCCTCCCTCTCACTCTCTCTCAAATACTCCTCTACTACCTCTCCTCCTCCCCCACCCCCCGCCCCCCCACTCTCTTTTCTTTTGGTATCTCCCTCTTTCCCCACTACTAATGCTTCTCTCTCCTGGTCTTCTCTCTCTCTTTTATGCACTCTCTCTCTCTCTCTCTCTTTTCTCTCATTCTCTTGTATTCTCCCCTCTCTCACCTCACCCTCCCCACTTCCCTCCACCCCCCCCTCTCCTATGTCCTCATTCTCGCTCATTACTCAGATCAGGTGACTCTGTCCCTTCTCTCGCTCACTCTACACTCCAGCCCTTGACTAGTTCCCTCTTCACTCATAAACACTCCACTATGATACACATGACACACCCTTCACACTCTATTACTCACTCTCTCACCCCACCTCCCCCCTCTCTCTTTCTTTTGGTTATCTCCCTCTATATTCCCCTCTCTATTTTGCTCCTCTCTTCCTCACTGGTTCTCTTCTCTCTTTGACCCCACTCCTCTCACAGTGTCCTCTCTCTCTCATATTTAGCACTCTCTCTCTACTTCTCTTCTTTCTAGGTTACTCCCCTCTCCTCCTCCCCCCCCGCCCTTGCCCCCCTCCTCTCTCTTTGTCCCTCACTCTTTCTCGATTCCTTGTGATCATGTCCCTCTCCTATCTCTCTCTTTCTCTCTACACACTCTCTCTCCCACCCCCCCGACACATACAAACCAAACATATTATAACTCACCCACTAATACCCCCCAACAATCACAACAACACCCCATATTTGACACACACTCAACACACATCTTCCCCAACACACTCACACATCATAACACACAAACACATTACACTCCCCCCAACACACCAACCCCCCCCCAACCACCAAATACCACACAAACATCACAATACACATACACACACACAAACACACACAACCACACCCACCCCCCACACCACAAACAAATTAACACACCCACAATCCCCACACAAGCACACTATACACCACCATAACCACAGAACACCACACACAACACACACACACACACACACACACACCACAACACAAAAACCCCACCAACACACACAACAACACCCAAAAACACACACAACACACACCAAAAATTACACCCCCAAACACACACCCCCCACAACAATACCCAACAACAAACCCTTCAATTCACAAACACAAACAAACAAAACACACACACACCCACCCCACAACAAAAAATTACAACCAACACACCCAACATACCCAACATAAACAACACACACACACCCCACAACAACAACACCAAACCAACACAACAAACACACACCAACACACACACACACAACCACACACACACACACACACACACCACACAACACCACACACCCCCCCAAACCAAAATTACAAACCCACAAACCACACTCACACAAAAACACATTACAACCCACACACAAAAACCACACAACACAACATTACCACCACACCAACCACCATAACAACCTCCCCCCCCAAAATAAAACCCACTTCCATCACCTCCCCCAATCCCCATCACAAACTAATTCCACACCCACATAAAATTCTAACCCAAAATACCCCTCCAACCTAACCCCCCTATCACCCACCCAAAAACCCCCCCCTCCCACCAACAAACATTCAACCTAATCCCTCTTTAAATCCTTTCACCTCAACATCACCTCCCCAAACACCCCCACATTCCCAAAAAAAAAAAACATCCCCCTAACACAAAAAACCCTTATCCAATCCACCTCCCCCAATCTTATTACCCCAACCATCTTTCCTCCCTTCTTAACCCATCACCCCACACCCCCCTCACCCCACATATAACATCCTACTCATGGCGTCTCCACATCCGCAGGGTCTTTGTACGGCGAGATAGAACACACACGTGAACTTTACAACAAAGTCTGGGGGAGAAAACGTCTGATTAGAACTTCGATTGGTTTCACAAGACCCCTGCCAATCGCACAATTGAGAAAAAACACAAAGAGAAGAAAACTTTAGCTAACTTTTGCTAAGCTTTTGTGCGTGTGACCTAGCTCCCTGCGCTAGCGTTCACGGGAAATGGATGAATTAGTAACAAAAACTTTGGATTTCTTGACGACTGTGATGATTCGTGCAGCTTTGTTCCACTTTCTTCTGCACCGGCGGTGGCAAATCCAGTCCTTGAGATTTTTTTTTCTTTTCATTTTTTTTTGGTGAAACTTTGTAGAGAAAAAGAGGTGGTGAAATAGCTGGGCCATATTCTTGACTGCAGCGACGGTGCTTGTGTCATAGAGGAAGAGAAAAGGCTTTACAACATTCGGCTTAACCAAAACTTTCTCCTTCACCGTTTCTTTTTGTTCAATACAAAAGTAAAATAGTCAATAATAGTCTATATTATTCACAATAAGTCTGTGTCGTTTTAAACAACACAGACTTATTGTTGCGTTAGAGTTAACAGACCCTTCACATGAAAGTTTTGACTAGTTTTTCTCTCACACAAATGTCTCTTTTTCTGCAACACATTTGATGTTTATTTTATTTAGCGCCCTGCAACACACAACACACAACAACACACGACAGCACACAACAACACACAACAACACACAGCAGCACACAACAACACACAACAACACCACACATCAACACACAACAACACCACACATTAACACACAACAACACCACACATCAACACACAACAACACCACACATTAACACACAACAACACCACACATCAACACACAACAACACACCTACACAAGCAAGACAACAATAAAACAGTTAGAAACATTTAGACTAAGACCGAGTGTGAAAGTGGTCTCTAAGTTCTTCTTCTTCTGTCCCTCTCTCTCTGGTTTTTGTCCCTCTTTTTCTTTCTCTCTCTCTTTCTCTGGTATCTGTCCCTCTCTCTTCTTCTTCTTCCACTTCTTCTTCCACTTCTTCTTCCACTTCTTCCTCCACTTCTTCTTCCTCTTCTTCTTCTTCTTCTTCCACTTCTTCTTCCTCTTCTTCTTCCTCTTCTTCCACTTCTTCTTCCTCTTCTTCTTCTTCTTCTTCCACTTCTTCTTCCCCTTCTTCTTCTTCTTCTTCCACTTCTTCTTCCACTTCTTCTTCCACTTCTTCTTCTTCTTCCACTTCTTCCTCCACTTCTTCTTCCTCTTCTTCTTCCTCTTCTTCTTCTTCTTCTTCCACTTCTTCTTCCTCTTCTTCTTCTTCTTCTTCCACTTCTTCCTCCACTTCTTCTTCCTCTTCTTCTTCTTCTTCTTCCACTTCTTCTTCCTCTTCTTCTTCCTCTTCTTCCACTTCTTCTTCCTCTTCTTCTTCTTCTTCTTCCATTTCTTCTTCCTCTTCTTCTTCTTCTTCTTCCACTTCTTCTTCCACTTCTTCTTCTTCTTCTTCCACTTCTTCCTCCACTTCTTCTTCCTCTTCTTCTTCTTCTTCCACTTCTTCTTCCTCTTCTTCTTCCTCTTCTTCCACTTCTTCTTCCTCTTCTTCTTCTTCTTCTTCCACTTCTTCTTCCTCTTCTTCTTCTTCTTCTTCCACTTCTTCTTCCTCTTCTTCTTCTTCTTCTTCTTCCTCTTCTTCTTCCTCTTCTTCTTCCACTTCTTCTTCCTCTTCTTCCACTTCTTCTTCTTTGATCATGGGTAAATGACTTTGCCGTCTGAACACATAACACATTTACTTTATCTGAATCATGAATTAAGACTAAAGCTGTTTTTCAATTGTTACAAATCTTTTCAAATCCAGATAAAAACGACTTCGGTCATTTTGGCTCAACATTTTTTCCTCTGTAAGAGTAGCTCTCCGTCACTATTGTTGCTCTTCAATGGAAAAAATTACTCTAAAAGTTAAAATAATCACATAATTGAGATCCATAATGTTCTAAAACCTTCTGTCTGACTTTCAGTTCTTGTACAAACAGTTATGGAAAAAACATACATCTGTAAACAAATGTAATGCGTAGTCGCTTTCTTCGAGCACACAGCCGAGGCCGTATCATGTTTACTTTGAACGCAGTGATAAAACCAAGGGCAGGATGATAAAGTGTATGTCATGATTTTAGAAAGGAAAAAGCTTGTCTATAAATGATATCTCTCCGTCTTCTTAAACAGAAAGAAAAGTTTCCTGAACAGATTATTGTCTGGAACTCAGTGGAATTTAGGATTTAGGCCATGTATTAGGAGTGGACAGACCGAGTCATGGTGTTTGCTGAATGCAGAAGAAGCTGGAGCCAGTTTCCTTATATGGGCATATGTTCCAACAGCATTAGTTTCGCAGTCAGACAATATCAAAAAATAAATATAAAGGGTCAGAGAGAGCGAGAGTGACGGAGATGGTTACTGAAATGGTTAATTTGAAAAAAGCGTATGTATGTTTGTGGACTTTAGAATTACCAAGAAAGTCCCCAGGTTTCCTCCAGGTTCAAAAATAGAACAAAGATCAAGAAAGAAAATGCTGATACACTTGATAATGCACACACACACACACACACACACACATGTAGAGCCAGTAGTCCATAAGGGGCAGATGACCAATGTCCATAAATGTTGATAAATGTTCTTAACCCTTTAATGGTTTCTTCAACCATTTGGTCGATTACCTTTTGAGTCAATATATCTACCTGTGGCATCTCACTTGGTTTCAGGCACTTTTACCATCAAACTCATCTAAAGGCCTATAAAAAATACATAAAAATAGGGGCTCAATAGAAAAAAAGAGAGATCCGTGTTATTAGTGCTCCTACATCTTAGAAAATCTCAAAATGAAACAAATAATAATATCGCTTTCATCAAGGAGTGATCGTTGAAAGTTTAAATGTTGTTGAATGTCGAGTGTCCTGGATCACCACCACTGTCCGAGGGAAAAGTCTAAAAACCCGGTGGGAAAAACCTCGGACTATAGATCCAGGACTCTGGCTGTAGAATCTGGATCGAGGCCACGTGACGCAGGACCGAGACAGCTTGTGAGAAAATGCTTCCCCACACTAAACCAGTCAAACCTGGTGTGTATTCTTTCGTTTTTCTCATTCAAACATTTATTATTACATACAACAAGGTGCAGAAATCAGCCCCCTTTGTTCACCTCCTCTACAGATGCAGTAAGAGGCAGTGTGGCACTCTGGCGGGTAAACAAACAGAGAAACGGCTTGTTAAGGCTGACACACTCTCATTACTCTGACGATGACAGATCAGATGCTGTAATTATCTGAAGAAGGAGATACTTTGAGAGCGTGCACATAATGGAGCCTGCTACAGACCTGGAGAAGCTCACTCAATAATCACTCTCATTTAGCTCTATTGTTGCACGCCGGGAAACAGGGTCAGATACCGCCGGAGATTTGAGTACAGGATCTGTCCATTCCAAACAAGACTCGTCAACAAAACTTGCTGTTTTAATCAAAATTGTAAAAAATGCCATAAGAAAACAAAGATTTGTCATTTATTTCCACATGAACAAGTGGGATTTTTACTTTATGTCTTTGAGGTGGTCACTGTAAAACTAGAACCGGTATTGCTGAAGTGCTTGGATTGACTCGACAGGATTTGAAATGTGATGTCATAGATAGTAGAGAGAAGCAGTCTTGGGATATTTAGTAAAGAAGAAATTGCACTGCAAAAAAAAAAAAGATAAAATATGAGGTAATAATTGCTTGAATTCAGTGGTTTTTATCTTAATTTGAGTACATTCAGTCTTAAAACCAGATTAGCCAATGGGACAAAGCCGTTTAGTCCCTTTTTGTCATGGTGTGGATTATGTGTTATTTTACTTGGTTTTATTTTGACTTATTTTTTGTGTAGTTTGACTTCCTGTTCCCTGTGTTGATTGTCTGCCCCGCCCTGATGTGTTTCACCTGTGTCTGTGTCTATTTGTACCCTGTGCTGGTCCATTGTATTGTCTACCTCCGTCCTGTCTTGTCAAGCTCTGTTCTTGGTTCCTTAGTTTTTTTTTTGAGATTTGTTTTCACGTTAGACATTATTTTATTAAATTATTATTTTTTGCATTCCTGCGTTTGGGTCCTCCATTCATCTCACCCCACTTCATGACAGAATGGACCAGCTGGTTTAGGTTTATTTTCTGTTTTGAAATGTGTTCCTCTCGGTGTCTTGTACTTCCTGTTGTTTGATCACCTGTGTCTCGTTAGTCTTGTATTTAGCCCTGTGTGTTCCTTCACTCCCTGTTCTGTCATTGTTATCCCGTGTCTGATTTTTAGTTCTGTCCTCGGTCCCTGTGTTTTTGGGTTTTATCTTTTTTATTAAATCCATTATTTTTTGCAGTTTTTGCATTTTAGGTCTTCTTGTTTTTCATCCATGTGACACTTTTCAAGAACAGTTCCTCTATTTTCTCATTCCAAGGGAGACATTTCTTGTATCTTTTTAAAGCAAGATCTTTTCCCATTGGCAAATCCAGTTTAAAGGTAGTCAGAAAGTGCTCAAATGAAGATACCATCCATCCAGCTTCTTCCCCTTAATCCATTTCTTGTCAAGGGGTGGCAGTCAGAGCTGTACTCAATTCTCAGGATTTCTTTCAGTGAGAGCTTCAGGCAAAGTGGAGTTAAGTGCCTTGCCCAAGGACACAACGACAGCAGTGGGAGTCGTGAAGTACCTCTCGTGGTGGGCTCAAACCCATGACCTTCAGCTGAGCCACTGTCACCCGCAAATGAGCAATTTTTCCCTATTTTTTTTACCACTTTTTTGCAGCGTAGTTATAGTTACGCAATGCTTACTGATTGAAATAATTATCTCTCCTTATGTTTGTCCAAATGCAGGAGTTTCAATGTAAACAAACGGCCTCTTCTGTCGTTTGCAAAGTGGAAAGTTCTCACAGCGGCAAAACAGTGTCCGCTGTATTTTGTGCCGGTCGTCACAGTGACATTTCCAATAGTGTGTTGTTCCCCCCAGTCTTGTGCTGATGGCTCCGACAGCTCTCATAGTTTACATCTGGCCTTTGGGGGAAATGGACGTGCTGTTTTCTGCCTCCTGATGAATGTTCTTCTCAAACATAAACCTCAGACCGGTGAATACTGGATCATCTCTCTGTCACAGCATCAGGCTCACAGCGGAGTGGATGGTCCTCACCACAAGTTCAAAGTTATTCTTTGAACCCTGATCTTTAGACATTTACAACATTTACATAAGATTAACAATGTTTTTACAATTTCTATACACTTTTAGTAACATGCTAGCTGCAAAATGATATTGTAGCAGATGTGGGTTTCAATAGAGTTTTTTCTTTATAGATGTATTAACATTATGGACAGCTTTGAAAAGTCCTCCAATACGACTGTTGTTGTGATTTAGGGCTCTAAAATAATATATATAATTGATTTCCTTTCCAAACATTTCTTGAATTGGATTTTTATCACATTGGCTAATTGGTGAATGAACGTCAAGCTGTGGAAATAAGAAACAGATGATAAAAAAAACTTCAAATTAGATAGGACTGGAGGACCGTACTTTAAAACAACAAACATTAACTGTAATAAAGTCCATGTCACAAGTTTCTCACTCCCAAAAGACGTATTTTTGGCAACTCTTGATCATCCTCAGATCAGATGAAGAGAGGAGCAGCCAATCAGCTCTCAGTATGTGAAAGATCAAATGTTTTCTAATTAGATGAACGCAGCATGTTGTATGTTGTGGTCTGAATTGTTTATGGATCTTCAAGAAGACTCTTTCTGTTGGGACTAAAATCAAATCTTTTCATGAAACTAAAAGAAAGTTAGAGCTTTACCGTAGCGACATCACAACATCTCTCTTAAAATATGTGAATGTTCTCGTCGTCCAGGAAGAGAGAGTGAAGATCAACAAGTGCCATTTTATTGTTAAGTTTCAATGTATTTTTGTATAGCTCTAAATCTCAACATTATTTTGGAGAACTAACAACTTTGCGGAGTCAGAAAGGTGCGGCACAATCCAAAGCTGGCATTGTCGTGAATGAAGCAGCAGGAGACACAGCAGAGTCCTGATGAACCGAGAGGGAGTCGTGGATTGGTTCCTGATCGTGGGAACGTTCACTCAAAACAAAAACCCTTTGTTTGAATGTTCCAAATGAATTCTAATACAAATAGACTCAAATCATAATTGTGCCATCACAGCGCCTAAAGTCACATTGTTCACTTTTAATAATAAAAATAAAGCATTGGTTTTATATTCAGCGCCTTTTTGGACACTCAAAGAAGCTTCATATGTGATAATTCTCTCACTCCATACACGGTGGTGATAAACTACTACTATAGCCACAGCTGCCCTGGGGCACACTGACAGAAGTGAGGCAACCAGTATGTGCCATCCAACCACCACCAACCATTCACACACACACACCACACTCATTCTAGGCAATGGGGGTGAAGTGTCTTGCCTAAGGACACAACGACAGCAGACATCAGTGACAGTCGGTGGAGAAAGTCTTGTTCTGGGCTTGAACTCACGACCTTCAGGCTCAAAGGCCAATGCTCTTCCAACTGAGCCACTGTTGCCCCTCTATTCGTACTTCATACTTTCTCTCGTCTGGATCTCGCTCGGTCATTGCTCCTTTAGCCTTGGCCTGTTCTCTCAGCGAGCGTCCCAAGATGCAGTGAGCGAACGCCCACAGCCAGCCATACATCAGCCTCATGCAGCGGGGACGAATGAGCCCATGTCCAGTCAACAAGGATCACAGGGAAATGCCACTGCTTTGCTCTGGGCCCTGGATGTGACACCTAGACAAATGTTAGCAGCCGAGGACCGGGACGAAGTCTGTGTGTTGTTTGTTTTCGACTGTGTGTTTTGTACCGTCCAAAAATAAATACTTAAGAATGTTGGTGTTAGCTTAAAGAAGGCACAGTGCTTTGTCTATTATACAGTTCAATTCAGTTCAATTTGGGTTTTGTATGGCCCTAGATCACAGCAGCAGTCGTCTTGGAGCAAGTTGTTGCTTCGCCAACAACAGATCAGATTGTCAAACAGTCCAAACATAGAAAATGCAATCATATCAAACAAAAAGAGAAAAAAAAGAATTTAATTAATCACATAAATACATAGGAGCCACATATGGAGCAGGATGACCACTGACTGTATTAACTAAATGTCCATAACTGTTTCGGATTATCAATTCAATTCAACTCAATTCTTGTATAGCCCTAAATAAAAACAGCATTTATCTCGGAGGACTTAACTAAACCGTAGATTTTGCCAATCAGAGAATCAAACATTTGAAATTTAAGAAAAAAAAAAAAACAGATAGAGCCATTGGTCCACAAAATAATAATAATAATAATCACTGTCCTTAGACAACTACATTTTGTAAAAAAAAAAAAAATTAGAAACCATGAGGAGGTAGACAAACATGCTGTAGACCCAGGACTCAGACTGTAGAACGAGGACTGAGGAGGCTCCCAGGCGAGGTGGGGGTGCAGCCCGAGACCCCAGTCCACAGGTCCAGATTACAGCAATAGAACATTCTGCTGCCTATTTGCACACAACAGCCGTGCATGGTGTACGGAAAACTCTGGAACACAAAGGTCTAAGCATCCATCCTCTGTCCCAGGTTTACTCCGACACATCTCAGCGGCGTCTGTTGTTCTGGACCCGGTATATTTATATTATTAATGAGCTGTACCCACCGGAGCCTGAAATCCACACAGTTTTCCTCTGTTTACTTTCTCTGCGTGTTTGTCTTTGGGCTTTGGCGCCGCTGACATTGAGCCGCTGTGGCCGATCCGAGGACACGGCGAGGAAAGTGTGACCAAAGTTGTTTGATTTTAATTTGCTTTTTTGGGAGCCAGTCATCCACAGGGGGCGGGGCCAGTCGTGTGCAATAGAATGGAGCTGAGTGGGTGTGTGTGTGTTTTTGTTGGGGTTAAGTTTGATGTTGTTAGATACAGGCCAGCTTTAGGGAAGTTAAGTTTATGTGTATAGCACAGGTCAAACACAAGAAAACTCAAAGCATTGAACAAAACTTTAAAATCATAAATGATCACAGTGCATTGTAACTTGTGATTTATTATTTTTAACCCAATGGCCTCTAACCCTCTTTTTGATACAGTGCCTTGCGAAAGTATTCGGCCCCCTTGAACCTTTCGCCACATTTCAGGCTTCAAACATAAAAATATAAAAATTACAATTTTTGTCAAGATTCAACAACAAGTGGGACACAATCGTGAAGTGGAACGGAATTTATTGGATAATTTAAACTTTTTTAACAAATAAAAAACTGAAAAGTGGGGCGTGCAATATTATTCGGCCCCCTTGCGCTAATACTTTGTAGCGCCACCTTTTGCTGCAATTACAGCTGCAAGTTGCTTGGGGTATGTCTCTATCAGTTTTGTACATCGAGAGACTGGAGTTCTTGCCCATTCTTCCTTGCAAAACAGCTCAAGCTCAGTGAGGTTGGATGGAGAGCGTTTGTGAACAGCAGTCTTCAGCTCTTTCCACAGATTCTCGATTGGATTCAGGTCTGGACTTTGACTTGGCCATTCTAACACCTGGATACGTCTATTTGTGAACCATTCCATTGTAGATTTGGCTTTATGTTTTGGATCATTGTCCTGTTGGAAGATAAATCTCTGTCCCAGTCTCAGGTCTTTTGCAGACTCCAACAGGTTTTCTTCCAGAATGGTCCTGTATTTGGCTCCATCCATCTTCCCATCAATTTTAGCCATCTTCCCTGTCCCTGCTGAAGAAAAGCAGGCCCAAAGCATGATGCTGCCACCACCATGTTTGACAGTGGGGATGGTGTGTTCAGGGTGATGAGCTGTGTTGCTTTTATGCCAAACATATCGTTTTACATTGTGGCCAAAAAGTTCGATTTTGGTTTCATCTGACCAGAGCACCTTCTTCCACATGTTTGGTGTGTCTCCCAGGTGGCTTGTGGCAAACTTTAAACGAGACTTTTTATGGATATCTTTGAAAAATGGCTTTCTTCTTGCCACTCTTCCATAAAGGCCAGATTTGTGCAGTGCACGACTGATTGTTGTCCTATGGACAGACTCTCCCACCTCAGCTGTAGTTATCTGCAGTTCATCCAGAGTGATCATGGGCCACTTGGCTGCATCTCTGATCAGTCTTCTCCTTGTTTGAGATGAAAGTTTGGAGGGACGGCCGGGTCTTGGTAGATTTGCAGTGGTCTGATACTTCTTACATTTCAATATAATTGCTTGCACAGTGCTCCTTGAGATGTTTAAAGCTTGGGAAATCTTTTTGTATCCAAATCCGGCTTTAAACTTCTCCACACCAGTATCTCGGACCTGCCTGGTGTGTTCCTTTGTCTTCATGGTTCTCTCTGCGCTTTAAACAGAACCCTGAGACTATCAAAGAGCAGGTGCATTTATACGGAGACTTGATCACACACAGGTGCATTCTATTTATCATCATCAGTCATTTAGGACAACATTGGATCATTCAAAGATCCTCACTGAACTTCTGGAGTGAGTTTGCTGCACTGAAAGTAAAGGGGCCGAATAATATTGCACGCCCCACTTTTCAGTTTTTTATTTGTTAAAAAAGTTTAAATTACCCAATAAATTTTGTTCCGCTTCACGATTGTGTCCCACTTGTTGTTGATTCATGACAAAAAATTTGAATTTTATATCTTTATGTTTGAAGCCTGAAATGTGGCAAAATTTTGAAAGGTTCAAAGGGGCCGAATACTTTCGCAAGGCACTGTATACTGTACTCAGGCCTCTAACCCTATTGTTTATGTATACCGAGGCCTCTAACTCTATTTTTAATGTATACTCAGGCTTAAAACGCTGTGTTTTGTGGTTCTTTTGAAAGACAAATTAGATGTATTACCTTTGTAACCCTAACTTCAAGAACCTCAAAAAGCATTTTTAACCCAAAACAAAAATTACTTTTCTGAATCAGGCTTCTCACCCTATTTTCTAAGTACACTGGGCCTCTAACCCTATATTTATTATTATTACTTACATATTTTTACATATATCAATAGAACAGACAAATAACAGGCTCTAAAAAGGTACCTTTACGAAACAGAGGCCCTGTATTATTATTATGTACACTGGGCCTCTAACCCAATTTTATATATACTGAGCCTCTAACGTTATTTGTATGTACTGGGCCTCTACCCCTGTTTTTATGTACACTGGGCCTCTAAATCTCTTTTAATATACTGTGTCTATAATGCTATTTCTGATTAATGTTGAGGCCTCTAACCCTCTCTTGATCACTCCTAGTTTGTACTGTTGTTAAGTGTTAGTTGACTTAAAACGTGGCCGTTGACAAGCTTCAGATAATATTTATTTCAGACCGTACCACCAAATCATCCCTCCATATTGTGCAGCTGTCGTAATAGTGTCTGGTTTTCATCAACAAAATAATAATTCTGACAAAAACTAGCAGACAACAATAATAGTTAGTTGAAAATGATGTGTGGCATCAGCTTCTTTTCTTCTGTCTACATCGATAATAAATGTTTTTGAGTTCTATGTGAGAAACCACAGGGATTTCTCTCTCTGTTCCCACAATCTTAATTCTGTCTCCTGTCAAAAAAATCTTGGTTTTGGGTTAAAAACGACGGTCTTAATAAGAAGGCCCAGCTTGTGTCTGGGAAAGCTGCCATGTTGCAAACTCCATCTGCAGCTTTTTACATCAATGTGACTTATTTCCTCCCTCCTCCTTCAAACTTAGACATTTGAAAGACTCAGGTGACAATGCCCCACTGCTCTGGCTCCAACTTAGAAATGATGGTTCAAATTCTCCACAAAATAGTTTTCTATAAATTGTTACCAGTAATGAAACAATGAAAAAAGTTCTCTCAGACATGAACATGGCACAATTACTGTTTTGTGTTGTAAAATAATTAAATATACTGTAATCTATCCTATTCTGTCCTCACCTCCAACAGTCACACGGTTCAGCTCTCATGGCCTCGCTGGTGTTTGTGTTTGCTTGTCATGTGCCACGTGTAAACTCCAACAACATCACCTCCAACATCACCCACCAACCCAGTGGTGGCAAACCACGGCCCGTGGGCTGGATGCGGCCGGGCTGCAGTTTATATAGTATGATATAAAGATTCTAAAGTCTTCATGTGCTGCGTACAGAGCTCTGGATCCACAGTTGTGCTCCTCGCTCTGCCGTCATATAAGCCACCAGCCCCTCACTGATCGATGAAGAAGGTCTCGAACACACAACCTTCAGGCTTAAAGGAGAAAAAGATTCAGATTCAGAATTATTTATTTGCCATTTGCAGTAAAACCACAATGGAATACATTTTCAAAAGTCCCCAGTGTGCACCAGACAAGTACATAAATAAAAGTACAGAAAGTACAAAATACAGAAATAAAACAGTAAACAATTGTCACTGTGAAGTTGATCGACTAAAACAGTTTCAATACAAAGGCAAGATCAACAAAGTGCTCTGTTTAAACTGATAACAGCTTGTGGAAAGAAGCTGTTTGCATATCGAGATGTCCTGCATCTCAGTGAACGATATCTTCTGCAAGAAGGAAGAAGTTTATAAGTGTGTGTGAGAAGTTTTATAGCCTTAACACTTCTATTTCACTCAGAACCGAACCGAGATAAACGAGGCACCACTCTATTGCAAATAGATTCACGGGGAAAAAAGAGAACTTGGAATAAGGCTGTAGCTTTGCAAAATTTATA